TACCCATCTTTTTTTGGCTATGCAATTCATCTGCAAGTTTTCTTAAATTGCTGCAAATCTCCAAAAATATTGTCAATTTATTTAAAAAATCTGTAAGTGGACCCACATAGTTCAAACTCATGTTGTTCAAGGGCCAACTATACACTAGTTGTCTACAGCAGGAGATTTTAAAATCAAAGAATTTTACTTTTGGTGGGGGGGAGTGCGAACCACTACATGACAGAATATTCCTGTTCCAAGTCACATCAGTGGCTAGTATAACCTGTATATAAATCACTCAGTCTCCTGTAAACAAGTCACTGTCATTTGTCTTTAGAGTTCTAGCTGTGAAAACCCTGTATCTTTAGTTCTTTTCTAGGACCAAACCACTAAGGCATTTATGTTGTAGATTTATAATGTACATAGACTATGTCATAGACTTACATGGCTTAGAGATAGAAATACTGTGATCAAGTTAAAAGCAATCTGACTTTAACAGCCCAAGAAATTTTTGGTAATCATTTCCATAGGTTTGCTCTTTTCCTAGTAAGTATCACATAATGGGAGGTTGAAATGGGAGGAAGTGCTTGAGCCAGAGTTTGAGCCTGAGCAACATAGGAGACCCTATCTCAAAAAACAACCACACATTAAGCATTTTAGGCTTTGTAGGGCCTACAAGAGACTCTGCTGTCTGTTTTTTTCTTTTAAAACAACCCTTTAGAAAGGTAATGGCCCTTGGAAGGCTGAGGTGGAAGGATCATCTAGAGCCCAGGAGGTCAAGGTTGCAGTGGCCGTGAGTAGCGTGTCACTGCACTCCAGCCTGGGTGACAAGAGTGAGACCCCAATTCAAAAAATAAAAATGGTAATGCTCGTTCTTATCCCACAGGCCATATAAAAACAAAATTAAAAGATTCGGAAGTGAGATAAAGGCCAATGCTCTCTCTCTCTCTCTCCTTTCATTCTTTGCCTCCTTTAATTTGTAAAGCTAATGCACATGCTAAGCCAGGACTTCTGGCAATCCCAAACTTCATAACACAGACAATGAAAAGCAGAAAGCTGGCTGGGCACAGCTGCTCATACCTATAATCCCAGCACTTTGAGAGGCAGAGGCAAGATGACTGCCAGGGCCCAGGGGTTCGAGATCAGCCTGGGAAACCTGGCAAGACCTCACCTCTACAATAAATAAAAAAATCAGCCAGGCGTGGTAGCACACGCCTATGGTTCAAGCTACTTGGAAGGTTGAGGCAGAAGGATCACCTGAGCCCAGCAGGTAGAGGCTGCAGTGGCGTGAGTGTGCCAATGCACTCCAGCCTGGGTGACAGTGAGACTCCGACTTAAAAAAAAAAGTTAAGTAGAACACTTTTTAAAACTAGGGCACTAGCAGCCAGCACACAGGAGCCCCAGTGACATGCCAGAGATCATGTAAGCTAAGTCTTTCAATGACTAAGATAGCTGCCCTAAGAAATTATCTGTAACTATGAGAAAAACAACCAAATGAAAGATGATAAAGGTCTATTTCAGAGAAAATGTAACTGCATTTGATGAACACAAACTTTCTATTCAGAAAACTGAGTTCAAATCCTGACTCTGCCACTTACTAGTTATGCTTATAGACAAGTAACAACTTCTTCATGCCTCAAAGTAACACACCTCAAAGGTTTTTGAGGATTAAATGAGTTAATTCATTTTAAGCACTAACAATAAACCCTGTATAAATACTTATTAGTTATACCTTACCATCAACAAGTGAAGGAAGTTAACTGTTACATACACATGGGATCTCCACAGGGGAGGCTCCTCACAGAAAGACTAAGCCTGACAGGCATGACTAAGTAGTAGTCTAAAGAGGAATAGCTAAGCCATTCCTTACCTTGGTTTATTACATCTTCCTAGATCATGGGTAATAAACTCAAATGCACATACAGAAGTCAGGAGGGCGGGGAAGTCAGCAATATAATTCAAATAAGCATGACTGACTATGGCAAAAAATACACACCCCAACTAAATGTGGTGATAATACAACCAGCTAGTTTTTATTTATGTGGAAATAAAGGGCCCCAAAGCTAGCTCTAGTTCAGATCTTAAAAATATAACCTGGATTATTTTTGGTGCTATCTCTTGAATTTTGAATGTTGGTAATTAATTCCAATTCTTTTTAAAGACATCGTACTCTTTAATCAAGACACCTAGGGGTAGATTTAGCTAGCTGGTTACCAGTTTATGACCTGTGGTCCACTGAGTCCCTTCACTACAAATTCTTTGCTCACTTCAAAATGTCAAAATTGTTAATTTAGGCTTTTTAAATACTTCAAGAGAACAGAAAAGTATTCCCATTTCGGTCACTATAAATTGTTACCAATTCATGGTAATCTTTCATGAGTTTGGTGAATATAGATCAATCCTAAACAGCTAATAAAATTAAATGGTAATTTGGGGGAGGTAATAAACCCTTCTAGTCACACAGTCCAATTATCTTTTGCACACATAGCACACAAAGGAATAACAACGACTTTCTCAGAATTTCTAGACTACATAGTCTAACAAAATAAAGCCAAAACTTTGATATGTTAAAAGCAATATGCTCTTTTTATTTAGGAGCTTTTATACAATATAAACATCACGGGAAATTCCTTTAAAGAAATAACTCTAACAAGGCTCTTAACAATTCATCATAGGTGGTAATTTAGGCTGGAACAAACATTTACAATGAAAATATGTCTTATAGACAAAAATTTACATAAGATATCTTATATTTTAATTACAAATATGTCTTAAGAGTTTAGAATTTATAATCCAGAGAATTCTAAAATGAAAGTTACAGTAGTCATCCCAAACACTACACTCTCCCCTTTATATAGAAACAGCACATTACGTGTCTTCCTCACTCCCTCAGGAAAGTCAGGGGCCTCTCTAGCCCAATTTGTTCTACTAGATGAATTACATAGAACTGCTAGCTTTCAACCTGTATTTCTTTAAGACATGTACATTTTCCTTAATTACTGCAAACCTCCCCTATATTTAACTGGAGGTTTTACAGTATCTTAGTTATAAGATTAAAAATCATTAAAACAGTTTAGAAACATAAAACACACATCAACCAGCTAATTTGACAAAACAATTGAGGTTAGGATACTCCAAACTAAGGATCATGAAGAGCCAATTTATGTTTAACTTTCCCCAGATGATTGAGTTGACTACAATTCAGAACAGATAGTCAATAAATGGCAACTCACGGAATACCTATTTCTAAAATGTAAATAACTACTTTTATCTAGGATAAAACAGCTCGCTTAAAAAATATCATGTAACCCACATCCACTTAAGAAAATGCAGCAAAACTAATGCTAAAATTTATTAAACACAAAACTACACTCTATCCACTGAAAAGCCTGCAAACATGTACACTAGAGTGTTATCTTATGACACTGGGTCAAGAGTCAAAAGCATTGATTACTGAAGGTATGGCCCAGACAGTTCTCACCTAGGATACTTGTTTAAAATGTACCCAGACCTAATGAATCCAAAGCTCACAAGGAAGAACTCTGGGACTTGCCATTCATAACTCTCTTTCAAGGTAAAAAGTACACTTAAATTTGAGAAACATTACTCTAACGATGAGACCAGTAAGGAGAATCAGAGTAAGATGGAAATACTAACTAAAAATTAATATATTCAGAGAGCTATCGGTAAATCAAATATAAGCACCAAATAACCTTCCATTACTTACTAGTTAGGAGCCCATTCTCAAAAAACTGTCTAGCTTGTCATGAAGCCAAACAGTATAAAATAGTTGGAAGATCCTTAAGATTTTGGAAGAAACAAAATGTTTCCCCACAATTGCAAATGTGGAGAACAGACATCAAATGCTTACAATCTCTTGCTGAGTGTTTCCACAATATTGTATGGCTGATTAATGGTTTTTCATTTGCAAATCATGTCTGTAAGCTTGATTCTGCTCATTTGACAAACGTTTATTCATATGTTCTTTTAATCATCTGCTTAACATCTTCTAAAGTAAAAACGTAAGAAAGAAAATGCTGAGATGGCACTAAGTATCATACCTGTAAGGCCAAGACTGCCACTGGCACACGCGGTGCTCTACACCCGTGCAACTGCACTACTAGCCTTGGCAGCCATCTTGAAAATGATGCCCGGCTCACAAGGGAGACCACGGAGTAGTAGTGTGTACACAGTACGTTACCCTCACTACTGCTACAAACGGTTCCAAGGATAATTCCTAGAGATGTAGTTTGTAGCTTTGCCTTCACAGAAGAAGAGCAATGTAAAGTTACCAGGAACAATGGCCACTCCAGTGAGCTACAACCGGGGCTTTCACAAAAATGGATTTAACCAGTATGATTTTAGGACAAGAAACTAGGAGAAATGAAAAACTGAGGAGGAAAAACGGCTGTTTTCTTGCAGATCTATTATTTAATCGGAGTAAACAAAAACAGCTCTCTGTTCAAAAGAGCTGTTAAAGAATTTACCAGAGAAATTGAAAAGACAGCATATTTGAAATGTGAAACAAAGCCAATCCAGCCTTTTGATAAAGATGACAAAACCTTATACCTGTCATGTCAAATCATGCTACCCCCAAAAGGTTAACAAGGTGTAAACAACCTGTTAATTAGTGGATCTCACACTCAAACCTAATTTCAGTAAAGTACATGAAAGGATAAGGATAAAACCGCACTGGACCGTAGTTTCCCCAGTTTGCCATAACTGTTAAGGTACGGCTCATTCACTCCGTTTGCCTCTTAAACTGCTTTGTGCCACACTGAAGCCTTTGAAGTTAGCTTCAAATTAATATGCAGCTACAACACAAAGACAATCTCTAGCTCCATTAATCCCTCCAGGCATCAAGGAAAGCAAAATTACACGAACACAGCAGAGGTAACAACCGCCCTCCACGACACGGTGGTGTGCCTACACAGGCTTGCAACCGTCTCAAGCCCCGCAAAGCCTAGAGAGCTGCAAGCATGCGAAAAGGTGGGACGAGGCTCCTGCGCCAGGCAGCTCACCTGTTGATGAAACCATATCCGTTTCTTACATTGAACCATTTTACTGTTCCCAAAACCTTCGTTGCTGGAAAACAAAGCAAAACAGCCCACGGTTACCAGACAGCCTTTTTCGAACAGCCCGGCTTCGCATCCGGTCCCCCGCACGCCGCCGACCACCGCCACCTGACAGCCTCTGCTCCGCGCGGCCCGGCTGCGAGGCCGTGCCGGGGCCACGACGCCGCCTTCACCGTACACGTGGGTGAATCTGAAGCCGCCGGGCGCCCCGGGGCAGGCCCGCGGCGCGGACCCAAGATGGGTGTGTGCGCAGGCCGCGGGCGGGGAGCACGTGAGGGAAAGGGAAGCCGCCCCGGCCCACTCCGGCCTGCGTAGGCGGCGCGCCG